TGAGAAACCACAGAGGACACTCAGGGAAGGTAGTGGAGATGCATTAAATAGCTATGGCCACTTTTTCTTTTCTTTTTCTTTTTTCTTTTTCTTTTTTCTTTTTCTTTTTCTTTTTCACCCAGGCCTCTGACCAAGGAGGGGAGAAAGAAGTTGGGAGCCTGGTCTGGGAAAAAGAGAGGCTATTAGGGAGGGATGAGATAGAGGACTATCAAGGGAGTAACAATGAGAGAGTAAGAAACAATTGTTGATTTTCTTAGATAAAATTAGCTGAAAACATTTGCAGAACAAACAGGGGGATTAGCCATACAAAAAACACGTGGTGGAGCTAAAGATCTCCTCTTGCCCTGCTCATGAATGCCGTGGATGCTGAGAATTTGCATGGTTACCCAGATGTCCAGGCCCTGAGGGCACCACCAGCACTTACAGTCCCATGGAAACTGCCTGGGGCTCCCCCTGACCCTGTCCCAGGACCTGTGACCCCATATCAGCCCCCTGTGGCTGCCAGTCCCTGCCCTAGGGATGCCCTAATCCAAACATCTGGTCTTATGCTCTTATGTACTGAGGCACTATCAGTGAGAAACTGTTAGTGAATTCAAGTCATATAGGCCTGCTGGATAAACTGGGTGAGAGGAAGGCTTGGATTCACCAAAACCAAGGAAGATATAACTCAGAAGAACCAGGGATAGCAAAGATAGAGAATGAATCTATTTAGTTCTAGGACTTTGCTTCCATCACCTTTAAAGAATATGTCTCAATAGACCAAATGGTAGATAGAATTTTTCATTGTTTTTTTCTGTTCCTGCAAGAAAAATGAGCAATTTGTTCGGTTTGGATGGAACCATTTGGGGTTGGTTTTGTTTGCTTTCTTGGTTGAGAAATAATAAAAGTAATTATAGCTTGAAAGACAAGAAAAGCTTCTTAACCTTTGCTCTATAAGGAAAAGAATTTGTGTAGGTCATTTGGATGACTGAAAAAATATTATGGATCTGTGAGCAAAGCCACTCCCTTTTGGAGGTCACTGAAAAAAGAGACTGAGTTGGTACTTCCAGAGCCTGAGCAGTGCTCTGGCTTTTCTATGGGACAAACAAATAGATGTAACTCCACTGATGATGGGATGTGGTCAAACCCTGTGCTCACCACTCTGATTAGCTGAGGAGCGGAAATACATTTGGCACCTATTCTGAACTGATGGAGTTATTTCAGAAAGGGATGTCTGTAGTTCTCATTGAGGAGACTTGGAAAGGCAGGTTCTGCCTACCAACTTACAGGAAAAATTATATATAAACAGTTGGAAGGGACAAAGAGTTTGTCAGTCTCAGTCCCCATGCTTGGCAGGAGAGTGAAAAAGGGAAGTCATGCACAGGGGTGACACTCCTTCAGTGAGGACCGAAGAAAGCAAAGCAGCTGCTGGGAGCTTTGCCCCTGCAGAAATTCCTAACACCAACTGTTCCTGTTTTGGTACAATTATTTAATCAGAGACAAAACCAACACAATACCCTTTCTGCAAAATAAGTTAATAAAAAGGGCAGTTTCAATGACAATGAGACAACCCTATACGTGTCATATCCATAAGATCTTTCCAGGGTCTGTGTGAACCTTCATGATTCAGAGTCAGCATGCTCTCATGAGACAAAGAGCTGCTTTAACTGTTCCCACTGCATTTTATAGACCACAAAAAGAAAAGCTCTAAGGATTTCAAAAGCCCCAGACTCGGCAGAGACTCCACAGTTTAATTTGTGAAGTGAGACAACTGACAGATTAAAAACTCAATTTTTACTTCACAGGCACTAAAGCCATGAGTCTAGTGCTGTGTCTCTTGAATCAGTGATGATTAATGAGTTTCAACCCTGTCAAAAATGCAAAGGAAAGTACTTCAGAAAGGAAAGGTTTCACCTAACATAGAAAAGAGACAAGACCTTGTTGCACAGTGACATGAGCCAGGTATTCTCCAGCACTCAGGTAGGGCTGGGGTAAGGGTTACAGTGTTAAATCAGGATATAAGAATTTGAAACATTTCTCTTCCCAGTAATAGTTCACTGCTGTCATTTTAAGGAAAAGTGGACTTCCCTAGGCATCCTAGAGAGCACTTTTGCATCAAATGTTGCCTCTGTGAAAGAAAGAGAATATCCCTTGGAGCAGTGAGCTGAGCTATGTGTCAAGGAATGACAAATAATTGCTTGATATGCATAGAAATAACTCTCAGGAATTTTTATCCAAAGTCAGAAGGGTTCAGGCTGGAACTGCAGGGCAAGGTATTTTCCATTTTGACAAATGCAGTGCATGTGTTAAGCAAGAAAAAGTGGCTTTGGAAGCATCAAGTCTCAGACCTGTGGCTCTCGAGAACATGGGTCAGAGGAGAATTGAGCATATCCCAATTTAGGCGTGGAAGCCCTCTCTTTGGCACTACTAACTTGCTATTTTGCATCCAGTTTTTCTCATTTTGCTAAGCTAGTAAAGTAAAATTTATTTCCTTCTCAGTCATCCCGAAACAAATTCATGCCAGTGGACAGCAAGAGGACATTTTCTGCATACTCTGAAAAGCTGTATGTTACACTTATTGGATTAGGATGTCTGTGGTTTCCAGGTAAGAGAAAATGTGAAATTACAAGAAATGGGCAGGGCAGTTGTGGACCTTTGCACAAATGCAAAATGAAGAACTGAGTCCTGGTCCATGTCTGATCCCACATAGCAACTGCTGTAGAGCCAAAACAACTTTGCAATGATTTGTTGCATCAGATATATTTCAATTAAAAAAAAGATCATTTTCTGTTGTTTTATTCTGTTGAGGTGTTGGTTGTTTAGTTTCAGTTTTCATAAGCAGCTCTGTATCCAGCAGAAGCAATATCATGTAAAGTGATTTGTTGGCACTGCCCTCTCTCTGTCAGCCAGACTCTGTGGGCAGGGACTCCCAGAGATGCATCTGATGGAGAGAGAATTACTGCCCTTCCACATCTCTTCAGCCCCACAGTGTACCCAACTGACAGACACCTGTTGGACTTATGACCATACAGGGATCTCCACACCCTCACATGCAGTAAAGGGTTCCTGTAGTGTAGACACACACAATGGCACCCAGAACATTACGTGTGCCTTCTGCTGAGGCAGCAGAGGAAACTAATTGATGAAAATCAGTTTAAACAAACAAACAAACAAACAAACAAACAAACAAACAAATCAAAACAAATTTTAGTTTAGACAGGGACCATCTTAATTCACATCTTTTCCTACTCTATGTAATCTGTCTCCTTTTCACTAACCCCCAAGTGAGCAGAAAAGAAATTGCCAGAGTCCAGCTCCACCTTAAAACATCAGCAAAATGCAACATTTGCAGAGTATTTGCATTTTAGTCTTATCTTTGTTATTGTTCTATTTAAAGGAACTATTCTGTACACTACCACTTGTATGCAGGATTGCAAACAGTTATAATTCAGTCCAAAATTCCACAGTATCAGACAATCCACAAAATTAGGTCTATCATTTAAAAAACAAGTGAAAAACAAACAAAAGAGTATAAACCATTTATTTTTTGAGAAAATAGCCTACAAAATTGAAACTTAATTACTGTTAAACTGCTATTAGAACAACAGGAAAGAATCTGATAGAATATATTCCTGACAATCATTCAAGTTCTGCATTACATTTTGAATGGTTTCAAATATAGAAAAAAAATTCAAACCTCACCTATAATGAGCTTATTCAGTTTGCATCTTGTACAACTTTTACAGTTTATAACTGGATAAGTGTTGATGCATAAAGCTATAATTCACCAGTGTTGATCACAGTTTCTATGAAAATAAATAAGCAAATATGCCGAGATGATACAAGCTGAGCATACAGAATTCATCCTAATTACACCTGGTCAGAGAAAATTCAAGTAAACAGTGTCATATCATGAAATTTCCAGAAGAAAATCAAATTGGAAGCAACACTCTCATCACATTCTCAGAGCAGTTTTCTTCTGATATTAGCATTACTCCTATAAACCCATTGGCTGAAGTTACAAAATAAGATGTCTAAAGGTAAAAGATAAAATTGGTATGTAAAAAGAATGTTTCTCCATCATCTCAAATATAATAAGATGAATCTTCAGCTTTCCAATGTGTCACCAAAGCAAGGATTCTTCACACTTTAATCTTCAATATTTAAGCACTGGTTCATTGTCCGTTCCCAGCCTGTTCAGCTTAAACAGGGGATTTGGTTTAAGATACTGATTTTAGAAGGATCCACCTTTCCCATTCAAGATGCCTTTATTTTCATGAATAGGTTTATTCAGCCTTCATCATGAATAGGTTTATTCTATTCAACCTCTGCAAAGACAGATGTCTATTTCCCCAGTAGGAGGGAAATAATTTAGAAGGCCATCTTAAACCAGCCAGTTAATTTTTACATGGCTCAAATATGTGTGATGAATTGGGTCAGATAAATGAACATTTCCAAGTGTCTCTATCACCAGGGTAGTTACAGACATAACTGGTTTTGTCATTTTGTCCCATTAGGGTATGATTTAGTGTCCCACAAAACCAACGGAACTGTGCTGTGTCTGATCAGCACAAAGGAATCAAATATCATACTGGATACCTACAGCCAGCAGTCATGTTGTCCAGACAAGGATTTGAATTGTAATTTACATCAAATACCAGCATCCAAGGTAGTATTTGATCCCTCCTCTTTAACTTCCCATATGTGAAAGGTAGGCTGGCACCACACACACTGGCACAGTGGTAAACATCAAAATAAGCTTTGGTGTGTCTGAAGGCTGCCAGTCTCTCCACTTATGAGATGAGGACTCTGCATATGTCATTGCCAGTGTTAACGATGTCATCACACTTTTTGCACACCCAGCCCACTCTTACAGTGCTCCACAGTGAAATGAAAAAGAAAAGGATCTCCAGAAGCACCAAAGTGCATGGCCTGCCCCTCCAACACAGGGAATATGTGGTGGCAACCCATCATGGGAGGCAGTGGGTACACTGTTGCTCTCAGGCGATGCAGATGCACCATGGTTCACAGCTCAAAAAGGAACAGGGCAAGCTCCAGAGGGAAGAAGAGTTGGAGTCTCCTCATCCTTGCTCCCACAAGTATCAGGCAGCTGATATTTCCAGGGGAGCACCCAAGAGAGCATAGAGTGGTCATAACTTCTCTTTGGTTTGTGGCAGCAGGACCTGTTTCTGAAAGGGAAAGAAAAATGCCCAGTGTTAAAGTTTAGCTGGAGGGAATATGTGTTCTTATAACCTCAGTGGAATAAGAACCACATATATCATACACTGAGTCAGCTGCTCAGCAACTGAACAGGGGGCAGAAATTGTCCACTATTTTTTTATTTTGGAATGGATTTTAATTTCGGTATTTTCATTGTTTGTTTTATGACCACACATTGGAGGTGTTATTATTACCACTCCCATGGAAAATTCTATGAGGTAGCAACTCTCCAAGAAAAAAAAGATTATCTCACTCCTAAGATGATCTCTTTTCTTGGGTGGGGAAAGGGGATAGAAGCTGTTGTTTTTCTGATGCATGCTGAAAAATGCTTAGGAAATATCACCTAATTTTCAGGGCAAAAAAGGGAGGCACTCGATGCCTGCAACTGATAGCCTGTTAGCCTGTGTCCTTGAAAAATAATATGCTACAAGGACAAAATGTGTAGTTCTGAAGTGTAGCTCTTTTATGTCTCAAAGTATCACGAATAAGCGATTTTAATGGATGATTAAAAGCTCTGCCCTCACTATTATTGCACTGTAGGAAGCTGCCATCAGCACTGACCTACTTGCTGCCATGGCAGAAATGCCTATTTCAGATTCTGGCCTAAATGCAGATGATTGTTGGTTGGTGCTTATCTGTTTGCAGTGTGATATCCTTAGAAAATAAATAACTTCTGCCAGAGGGCCTCTCTTGTTTGGCAAGTAGGTTCAGTTTGGTTCTCTTTCCTTACCTGTACACTGGTGTGGGTTCAGCCCTCACAGATGACAGGCTCGTGAGCTCTGCTTACTCTTTAGTGTGCTTAACATATGAGTGAAGTGCTGTTAGTGCTGGACTGGGGGTTGTCAACCACAAGACCTCTGAAACTGTGCCAGAGAATCAGATCTGTTTTAAAATGTTAATTTTCTATGCTTTCAAGGGGGTTCTCAAGTTACATTTCCAAGATTCACCATGCAACCATGCAGGATTGTTTCTTTCCAAATTATGGATTTGGTGGGAGTGACGGCAGCGAGGACTGAGCAAGTCAGTAAGTCCTGTGCTTCTTGGACCCAGGCTTTACTAGAGATCAGAAATTGCCATAATTTAACATTGCAGACACTAGCAACACCAGTGATGAAAAAAGAGTCAACAAACCTTGCTGTGTTGTTAAAGGCACCATTTTGAATATTAAAGGCTCAAATGTGGAGAAGGAAATGTTTCAGCTCATCTGGGAGGAGAAGTCCAGTTATTTTTTGATGTTGCTTGTATCCAAAGCACCTCCTGATGCACAGGCGGCACAACTGCATCAAGGACAGTGGCCCTGTAGAAAGAGGCAGGGAAAAAGTTACATACATGGCTTTACAGTGTCAAAATTATAAAACTGAAACAGTAGCTGTGCATCACTGCTCTCTCCACCTCTTGCAACCCACCTCTCACCAGGTTTTTACATTCAGCAGTGAAAAGCCAAACCTTCACCCACCAAAGGACATCAGCCAACCAGCAGTCCAGCCCATGAGTAATCCACTCTGTCATTATACAGCTGCAATTAGCATCAACAGCATCAGCCTTTCCTTTTAAGCTGATCGAGTGTGAAGCAGTTTGTGTTGTCTATGATTGATACTACCTTAAAAGTCCTTCCTTCCCTCACTTTCCCTGTGAGATCCAAATTTTCAGTCCACTACCTTCTTGAGATGTAATTCATAACAGTGACAAACACATAGCAAAAGAAACACTATACAATTCTTTATTTAAACTTCAAGATTAACTGGTCCCATGTTGATAAATGCAAGCCCTGCTGAAGAATCTTTGTCACTTTTTTAAAAATCTAAGTATAATACACTTATTGTACACCCATAATACACTTGTTTGGGTCACTCATCTTTTTCAGGAAGAGGTAGATCCTATGTGAAGTTTTAACTATTGTACCTGTAAGTGTTTATCCCCCCAAGGCATCATTCGCACAGGGGCCACAGTGTGGAGGGTGGCAGAGGACTGTGGGAGGGCAGGTAAGAAGGACAGGCATGGATGTGGGGGCTGGATGCTGGGAGTGGGGAGGAGATAAGAAGAGACACTGCAGAAAGTAAGACTGAGGTAAGTGAGCTGGGAGGGGACAGTTTAGGTGCCACTTGCCCATGCCTGCCTGCCTGGCAGCTGAGACAGCCATGCTCTGAGAGCTGAAGTGTTGGTGCTGGTAGAGGAGTGCCGTGCAGCGGGAAGGAAGGGAGGCTACAGCAAAAATGCAGTGAGGTCGCAGCTTTGATCACCTTTTGAGACTTCCCTTATGCAGGACACCACATTTTGAACAGCTCTCCAGGGTTGAAAACTGCTGTGCTACCAAAAGACTGTGCAAAGGGCTGCACCCTTCTGCTAGGAGTCAGCATGTGACTTAGTTACCCTGTTCTTGGGTACAAAATAAGGCAAGCCGATATGGGGCAAGTTGAACTGACTATTGCACTGTAACAGTGCACTTGTACTTCACCATTCTGATCCCAAAGATAAATGTGACTATAAACCTCACATTTAAAAAAAAAAAGCTTCCATTAAAAGAAAAAGCAACCAAACCCAAAACATGAAGACTTATCATAACACAAGCCATGACACTACACTGGAAAATATTTAGCAAGCACAAGCATACTCTTCAAAAACACAGCACATTTTCTGGATCATTAGCTCCCACCCACATGTAGGACCCTCCCTACAATGCAAGCAGAGTGTGAGGTGTTCCAGAAGGTGAAGGTGTGGGAAGGGAAACCACAACATGTACCACATCTGCTCTGGGAAGGCAACTGGGTCAGCACACTCACCAGCTTATCTCTGTTGGCAAAACACACTCCCTGCAGCCTGCCCAGCCGTGGACTGGGGGGCTCCTGTTCCCCAGCATCTGGGGTGTGGGGGGAGAGGAGCCATGCTTGGGGGCAGGGCAGGGGAGAATCAGCTGGTGCTGAGGGGTTGTGAGGCTGGTGGGGTGAATGATCCCCACAGCACATTTCCAAACCTCTGTGTGAAACAAGATGGGTAGTATTTGCACCGCTCTCCAGATTGCATTCAGCCAGCCAAGGAAGTCAGATATCAGCTGTCCTTCAGGCATGACCCTACTCAGAGAAGGGCATGTTGGAGAACATCAGCAAAACACTATTCCACAGAAAAAAATCCATTCAGGTATTTATTGTTTCTGATTTTGATTGCTGAGTTTCACTTAAAAAAGTTCCTTACTGCCTGAGCTGTCAGCAGAGTTTCTCGGGCCAGCTCGACAGGGTGTGCCTGTTTTTCTATCTCAAATAAACAGGACACACACAGTGCCATGGGAGTCAGGAGTCAAGCAGAGCAGGGGTTGGAACTCAGAAAGATCACTACTCTGTGCGCCATAGATTAGGCTGGGAAACCAAATATCCGTTGCTCATGCATAACATGGACAACGCAGTTGCTTCCATGCTATTATTTTCCTGTTACTATTTCAAGCAGGGCCTGATTCATCATTTTGTTATTCCAGTTCTACCTTGGTGTAAATTTCTCCATGGCAACAATCACATCAACATGTAACTGGTATAATAGAGTCATGGACCACACCATCATCAACTTGTTTAAAACATTGAAAATCCAGGTTATTTAGTAATGTGTATAGCTTGATGATTGAGAAAAAATCTAAAGAAGACAAGTATACAAAAATAAGCAGACACTAGAGACCTTAGTCTAATTTCCCTCAAGAATGGCAAGTAACATTTCTCTCCATAATTAATTAAAGAGTTCATAATCAATAAAATAAAATTACCTGGAACTATTTAATTTACATATACAAAATAGATACTTCCTGAAGTTTATGATTATACTGCTGGATTATTCAGCATGTAGTGTTGGCCTTTAAAAAAAGCCTAGTGTTTAAATGTATATAAATATATATAAATATATATATTCATTATATCATTCCTGCACAATTTTCCTTAATGCCCACTCAAAAAAAGTAAAATAATATAGTCTTTCATTTTAAAGATACTTTTGCATCTGTGTAAGAACTTGGCCCAAGAATCAAAGTTTAGCACAAAGAACTAGAAAATAAGTTCTTCGATATACTTTTTTTATTATCACACACATTAAAATTTTTCTGGTTGCAAATCTGCATTTATACGTTTGTGCTGAGACCAATATCCCGTGTAAAACTGACTGTATAACCAAAGATGCCAGTCCTCGCACTCACTGGTTATCCTCAACTCCCATCAGAGGTGGTTTGCTGCCTGCATTTGCTCCAGAGAACACTCCTGGCTCTACTCCCATCTCAGACACAAAGGAACTGGGAGATCCTCCCTAACTTCACTGGTTTATGTAATGAGAAAAAGCTACCATTAATTTCTAAGGAGTGTTCTGCTTATTTTTTTCACCCTAAACACTATTACTCATTATATTGCAAGCTCCATAAGATTGCTCCCCAATGCAGTAGATTCACAATCCAAAGGTTCAAGATGGGTTATTATTCTTGCCATAACCACTGTTAGAGAGCCACTATATTCTGGCACTAGAAAACATAGTGTCCCTATGCCAGGGAACAGAGGCAAGCTTAGTTATTCAAGCTTTTTTGGTGTCAGTAGCCTGGAATAGCATAGCCTTTTGCAAAAGTCTGCATAGTTTTTCCCTAAATAAAACAAGAACTAAGGGGCACCTTCTCTCTGCAGGAATAGTTGGCCCACAGGACTGCCAGGTGGGACCAGCTCCATCGGCCTCTTGTTATCAGCGTTCTTCACCCAAATGTCTGCTCCAAAGTCCATCAGCAGCGTCACCAGCTCCACATTGCGATTCCTGGCAGCCACATGCAGAGGGGAGTCCAGGCCTTTGCCAATGTTCACATTTGCTCCTGAACACCAACAGATGACAAAGAATAATGTCAAAGAATAATGACTATACAGTAGCTTATTTCCATTTACTGTTCTAGCTGCTACTGCTCCGAATAACACATAAATGATGTAGCATCCAGGTAGAGGTGGACTGCTTTATGCTTGGGCTTGGTACTACAACTTGCACATGCACAACTCACAGTGGTTGAGGAGCAGTGGGGTTGTGACTAAGAAAATAATCCCAGAGGAATGGTACATGAGGAAGTCCTTCATCCACAGCCCAGCTCGTGGATATCTTGAAGCAGGACAAAGGTATAGTTCCACCTATGTCCCACCTTTACTCCCCATCCCTCAATATACATGCAAGGTTTCAATGTGCTCTGTACTGGAGGCTTAAGCTGGTGGAATCCCCAAGTACCAAAGTATCTATTGGGTACAAAATGTAAAGATGGAAAAGTTCTAGAGGCCCTTGGTAGAAGAGGGTATAAGCATCCTTGATGAGAATTCCCCCATTTGTTACTCTGGAATAATGGTTCCTAAAACACCTTAAGAAGGGTGAGCTGCAGAGCTAATTCAAAACCATTTATAATGTTTCTATAGTACACATTCCTATATATAGGAGGCAGTAAAAAATAAACTATCAGAAAAAAAGAAAATAGCAGCAAACATTTAATATTTAGATTAAGTTATATTTGACTTCTTGAGAAAAGAGGTCCAGACACCATCAGTCATGTGAAATACAGAATCAACTATCATTTTGTTGGAAGCTGTAAAGCTTAGTTCCTGGGTCAAGAAGATCTTGGTCACCCTACTACCACATTCAACCCAGGACTGCCATTAGGAGTGAAACCTCTCCAGGTCCCAAGGGAGGAGGGTCTCTAAGTCTTTGAGGCAAAGATAATCCAAAGATAGCTGTTGCAGGAAACAAAAGTACACAGTTCTTTATTTTTATTTTTACCTGACTCGAGCAGCTTCTTGGCACAGTTCACTTGCTGGTTATCACAAGCTACATAAAGTGGAGTACCCAGATGCTTGATGTTGTGATCTATATTTAGCCCATGGAACACAAGGAGTTCAACACATTGCACATGACCTTAAAAGGGATAAAGGAAGAGTCAACTCAGAGAGATCAGACTTTTTTTTTCCCCAGCAAATTCTCTGTTGCAACGGTGAAGTTTGGCAAAGATTCAATGTTTTGTCAAGAGGTGGTAGTGTAATACTTTCATCCATTCCAGTGTATCCAGCCTGGAGAACAGGAGCTGCACAGCCACACAGCAAAACAGGTTAAAGGCCTCATATTTTATCTGATTTTATCTGATTCATTTCAGATGTCTACTGAAGATGAGATTAATCCCTCTGTGTTTCTCTCCACTGCTTTTGAAGATAGTCAGACTTCTCCTTCAAATGTCCACATTTTAGGTGGCTGACTTGGATAATGCATCCCCTTCCAGGTGTCACCATGTGAACTCAGAGGATCTGACACTGAGCTGACCTGCCCTTGATAAGCTGTAGGGGTGGGAAGAACTGCACCCCTCATGTGAGACCAACTAGCAAGGCATTTTACATGACCCAAACTGAGAAAATTATCTTTATCTCTCTCTTCTACCTCAACACATTGCTAGCAACTTGGAAAAGAGGGCTGATGCCTGTGAGGTTACCTCTCTTAGCAGCTTCATGGATGGGGGATGCCAAATCACAGGGTGGGTGTAGGCTGGCTCCATGCTTCAGCAATAAATTCAAGCAAGCCACACTGCCACTGACACAAGCACTGAACAAAGGAGTGTGCCAGTCAACAGTCACTCCATTCACCTGGGGGAAAATAACTCAATCAGGCATTTTATTTGTCTTCTTGTTATTTCAAAACTGATGACAATTATCTAGTTTCTCATAAGGCAATAGGATTCTCAATACTTTTTATTTAATTCTGTGCCAAAACTCCCTGGTGCTTCTGAAGATTATGACTTTTTATTAACATGATCATTAAAAATATACTTTTTAAAATTGCACCTAAACCTCTCCTGCAAAAAATATACTTACTCAGTGCCACTCCAGAGTCTCTTGGGAGTTATCAAGTTAAATGTGTGCCCATTTCTCAGTCATCTCAGCTGAAACACACCTGCCCAAAGCTCTCTCCTGAAATTGTGCATTTCTGGTTGAAAGTGTGCAGCACTCTCCTTCTTTTACTTGTTTTACATTTTTTTTTAAATTTTAAACTAAAAGGTAGTATATGCCTGAGTCAACTTTGACATTAGCTTCAAAAGTAGTGACCATGAGACACCATTTCACCATTTTGCTTGCATGTTGTTTTTATTTTCTTTCCATTTTATTATCAGTTGATCCCAGCAGTTCTACACCTCTACTTGAGACTCTGCATGTTGATACCAATGAGATTAATGTGTGCAGAAAATAAAATACACCCTTAACTGCTGAGAGATTATAAACCCTTTGCAAGATGAACTTCCACTTGCTCTTGTAAATTATGAGAACATTGCATCTTCATCTAAAGAACATTAATACCTGTTGGTTATGTCCGTGCTTTCTGGTTTGCTATGTAAAGAAGTGCATTTTACATAAGTACCTTAAGCAGAGGTAAGTACAGAGTGTAAATCACAGTGATATGCTGACATGGCATCACTTAGCATTAAAATGTGGTAATACAACATACTAACACTAGAGACAACATCCTGTCCATCATGTACTCACCCGAGCACCGTGTTTTAATAGGACACTGGCACAAGCAGCATGACCCCCTAGGCAGGCTTCATGGAGAGGAGACACCTGGTCCGCTGTAACAAGGTTAACATCACTCCCCTGATAAGATAACAGAAAAAATCATTACAACCAGTTACCAAAAGGCCCATACAGAACAACAATAGCAACAACAACAACAACCCCTTTCTGGATTTAAAGTTGTATGTAATCAGACTTCCTCAACTGCCTGTAGCTTCTTATCTCAAAAAGTAAGCAGATACTTGTGATGCTTTGGCTGGAGTGGATACTGGCACAGCATACAAGAGGTCTTTTCTACACACTGCTAATCAGCACAGAAAGCTGTAATGGACTGTCCAGTGGCACAATACAGACATCCTGTTATGAACTCAGCATGATTTTTTTTCTAGTACACCATGAATAGCAAAATATGAAATGAATAATAATAATAAAAAATACAAAAAATTGCTCTTGACAGGGTTGTGACTGCTGCCTTTTTATATCACTGCTTAAGCCTTCTGACCTCCTGCCCACTGAGTCTTCGGTTGTTTGACTGGGTCCAATCCAGAAACGCTCTTGAAGTGTTTTCTGCCCTTTGCAGCAAGGCACCCACTGAAGGAAAGCCAGTCTCTGTATTAGAAACCATTGGTTTCATTCTACAAGATCTTTTGTTTCTAGCAAGGGCTTCAGAAGGTTAAGCTGGAAGAGTCCAATATCCTTTCCCTTTCCATCAACTCCTCCACTAGCTAAATTCAAGGATTTCAAAGAAATGAAGTGGTGACATTCAGAAATCACTTCTCCCTAGTCCTATCCTTCTGCAGCAGCAGCAGGACCCCAGGATACCCTCGGGCACTTCAGAAACAAATGTGTGAGTGGATGAATTGAAACCTCAGCACAGGTTAAGATGAGTCCAGAGCTGTCCCCCAAATGGGGCACCAAAAGCTGCTCACAGACACAGGAGCTGCAGAGGGAATCCCTCAGCCATCCAGAGATCCTGGTAACAAGGCTCCCATTACTTGTACCAGAATTAAAGTATCACCCTGGATAGGTCAATGCATCATCAGCTTAGTGCACAGAGCTTGTGCTGGGCAAGGAACTGGGAAAAAAACCTGCTACACAGAAATTTCACTGCAGTCTGGTCAGCATGATTTTCTCACCCTGGAAGTTTCACAGTAAAGCACAGATCGCATCCAACCACTGAACAAACCCAGCAGAGACCACATCAGCCTGGTGGAGGAGTACCTGTTCAATGAGTTTCTTCACAGTAAGCAGACGCCCACGGATAGAGGCTTCATGTAGAGGAGACCAGTCTGAAACAAAGTCTGTATAAAAAGAAAGACAGGAAGAAGGCTAGGAACTCCATCAGCATACTTTACTTCAACTCTGTGACCTCTCTTCTATTTTATTTATTTGACCTGCTAGGCTTTCCTTGGAGCAGCTGCTGGGAGGGAGACAGATAAGAATGACTTCTCTCTGAGTGTGTTTTTAACTCATCCTGTGTTTGCACTGAGCAGCTGTACTCCCTTTCAGAAGACTGGAGAGGGATTTGCAGAACATCACCTGACTCTGGCTGAACTTGTCCCTCTCTTTCAATTATTTCCAGTTCCTTTGCTTTCATGAACTCATTACATTTTACCAATTAACTCAAAAGAACTTTTGAAGAGAGTATGGCTGCCCAGGCATTTACCCCTGCTCAGAGCTGGGCTAGGGTCAGTACTTAGCAAGAGAAGGTACCAAAGTACAAAGAGGTAAATTGTGTTACCTATTAATTTTGCCTTTCAGTATTCAGTGTTTGGTGTGAGTGGTGCATTATAAGTAATAGCTGTGTTTTCTGTGTTATTGAAACCACAAAGTGAGGTACAGAACATATATACAATGTAAATATTAATAGAAGATCTTCAGTATTACAGATTTTATCGCTCAGAGCCAGCTGACAGCAATAATCCCTCTGGGAGATATTTACCTCCTTCAGCATTCAACAACTCAGAACCCAGTGCCCGGTCTATGTCAATAGCCCAGGTTCCCCCTGGGAAGGAAGGGAAGCATTTCCAGAGGGCACTTTACCTAACTTCTTTTGGAAACACATTTTGCTGCTCTCTGAAGACGTCCCACTCTCCTTCCACTAACTACAAAGAAAACCCCAACGACTGATTTGCTGGATGAGTTGCTGAGGTTTTCAGGATTATACTAGACTACATATATGGAATGGAATGCTTATCAGCGAGAAGTCCACCTTCAGCAAAAAAATCCTAATAAGCCACCATAATTCTTTAAAATAACTTTTACAGATAAGGTGATGATGTCAGTGCTCATACAAGATTCACAGATCTCGTCTCAGGTATGACCATGCATGGGAGACCTGAACCTCTCACGACCAGTGTCTTGCCCCTTGTGACTATGCCATGGTGTGCTGTAAAGAGGTGATGACCAACTGTGTCAACCATCTCCCAGCCTGTTGGGCTATTGCTCTCTCACCTTCAAGGGTGGTCAGCAAAGGAGCACAAATTTAAACAAGATGAGATCTAGTATATTAAGGCTTAAAATGTGTCTGCAATTGAAAAATTCTGCACCTATGTAAATGGTGACATGAAGATGGTGGTATCTGAAATATGTTGTTCATCAGACACAGAAATCTTTGCCTGCATAACTATGTTAGGTGGGGGGGGTGACTTTTGCTGGCATTGTGGCTGCAAAAAGTCTGCTATAGATTTATAGTTATTCTTGCAAGACTCTGTGCAGTACATTTGTGTAGTTGTTCATATAGGTAAAAGGATATTTCTGCTATGACAATACAACATTTTGAGCCACTTCATGTCCACCCCAATGATTATAAGTACTTGAAATGAACAGAGGAATGAACTCAGGAAATCTGGGTGATGTATATCAGTTCCCTGACCAACCTAGTGGCCCTCTGCAATGGAGTGACTACATCAGTGGACGAGGAAAGGGCTACAGATGTCATTTATCTGGACTTTTGTAAGACCTTTGACATGATTCTCCACGACACCCTTCTCTCTAAATTTGAGAGAGATGAATTTGATGGGTGAACTGTTTGGTGGATGAGGAGTTGATTGGATGGTCTCATTCAGTGGGTAGTGACCAATGGCTCAATGTCCCAATGAACATCAGTGACAAGTGGTGTTCCTCAGGGATCTGCACTGGGACCAGCGTTATTCAATGTCTTCATCAAGCCATAGAGAGAGGGAATGAGTGCACCCTTAACAAGTTTGCAGATGACATCTAGCTGAGTGGTGCAGTTGACACTCCTGAGGGATGGGATGCCATCCAGAGGGATCCAGACAAGCTCAAGAAGTAGGCCCATAAAAACCTCATGAGGTCCCACAAGGTCAAGTGCGTGCAAGCTGCTGCATCTCAGCTGGGGCAACACCTGGTATCTATACAGGCTGGAGTATGTCAACCATATCCTGGTCTACATCAAAAACAGCATCACCAGCAGGTGATTCTGCCCCTATGCTCTCATGAGATCCCACTTGGAATACTGCATACAGCACTGGGGTTCTCAGCATGGGAAAGACATGAACCTGTGGGAGCAGGTCCACAGGAGAGCTTCAAAAATGATCAGAGGGATGGAGCACCTCTCCTCTAAGGAAAAGCTGTGAGATTCAGGATTGTTCAGCCTGGAGAAGGGAAGGCTCTGGGGAGACCTCACTGCAGCCTTTCAGTACTTAAACAGGCATATAAGAAAGATGAGGAGAAACTTTTTAGCAGGGCATGGTGTGACAAGGGGACAAGGGGTAAAGGTTTTAAATGAAAAGGTTAGATTTTGACTAGATATAAGAAAGAAAATTCTTACATTGAGGGCGGTGAAATACTGGAACAGGTTGCCCAGAGAGGAAACATTCAGGATCATGCTGGACAAGGCTCTGAGCATCTTGCTCTGGTGGAAGGTGTTCCTGCTCATTGCAGGGACATTAAAGGTATCTTCAAACCAAAACTATACTATGACTCCATGAATTAGCTTCTAAAGAAATGTGTAATTTTTGTTACTAGCTTCATTTGAGCTCTGCCTGCCTCCTTCTATGTTCCATGGGCCATGTCCCACAACAGACACATAGTTTCAATAAGTTCAGAAACATCCTTTTGCTTTAGCAGATGGACAGCCAATTCCAGAAGCTGTAGTTCTGGTCTCATAAGGGTAGCCAAACTGCTACAATTATTAAAGCATAGAATTAACTGACTAAAATAACTTTGCTCTAAAGTGATGTGTGTCAAAATGATTCTTATCTGGCTGCGCTGTTGTTCTTGCTTATCCTGCCTGTATTACTGTTGTTTGTGTTTCCAAGGTCTGTAAAAAGCTTTGTCCCATTTAGAAACTAATGCCATTGCCCAATTTGCATGAGTTGTAAGGGAAGTATGTTTATAGAAATTCTAAAAATCTAGATTGAAGAACAAGTTTTCTGAGCTGCAACTTGATCTTTTTTTGGCCAAACAAATATAGGCAGGGGTTTGTGCAATCTACCGACTTGTTATATCATCATGTCAGCATTCTGGTTACAAAGAGGGATATATCTATGTGCAGATTTTATCCATTCAGCCCTTATTTGAGAAAATACAGGTTTCTACTGATACTAAAAAGAGCCAGATCATTTGTGGACTGACCATTAGCATGTAATTTTGCCAAGCTGTAACAATGAACTGAAAGATTGACCATATAAGCATCAAAAATAAATGTTAGTGGAAAATAAAGAGGTATGTGTTAACACATCATAATCCAGCTGGGAGTTCTATACTGAGAGGAACCAAGAGTTTTATTCTAGATGGAAGTGGAGTGCTATGGAATCCTCCACACGAGCCTCGGATACCTTGCAAAGAGAGGTCTGATGACTGATGACCAATTGCCACGGCGTACTTCCAGATCTGCAGCCATGAACTGCACGGCCCCAAGCTGATCTCTCTCCTGCCCTATCTCCATCTGCAGCAAACACCTCCACCCTGAAGCAATACCAGGGAGGCAAGCCCTCTAGAAGGGAAGGCAAATTCCCCCAGCTTCTGCACCAAGGGCATCACCTTTTGGCAAACAACAAAATTTCTGTTTTCTGCCTGCTCCCAGCCGGAATGTGTGTTTCTTGCCTGGAAGAGGAGGGAGGCTGCAGTGGATTTTCATATCTCACATCCCTCTTCTACACAGCACAGGAGGCACAGTGTCAGTAATATAAATGATCAGTATTTATATTTGATTAAGGCCTAAGGAAATGCCAGTTCCAGCTGGCCATGGTCTTTCAAAATTCTGAACTAGTGACTTTTGGGAAAGTGTTCAAAACCTTCTGCCCTCTAAAGCTGCCTGTGAAGCAGCAGGACCAGTGAACATGGGTGACACATCGTGTTCACGGTATGTACTGCCGCTGGAACAAAGATTTCGGATTGCCAAAATTATGTACAACTGCTCTTTCACAGAGAGACAAGACTTTTCATCCAAATTTGAAATTTACCCACCTTAGTCCACAGGCAAGCTGAGTCAGACCCCAGTCACAGAATCACAGAATCACAGAATCACAGAATCACAGAATGTGCTGAGTTGGAAGCAGTATACCTTATGGGTATAAGGATCATCAAGTCCAACCTTTAACGCTGCACAGGACAGACCCAAGCGTCACACCATGTGCCTGAGAGTATCATCCAAACATTTCTTGAACTCTGTCAGACTTGGTGGTGTGATCACTTCCCTGGGGAGCCTGTTCCAGTGCCCAACCACCCTCTGGGTGAAGAACCTTTTCCCAGTATCCAACCTAAACCTCCCCAGATGTAATTTCAGGCCATTCCCTCGGGTCCTGTAACCAGAGAGAAGAAATCAGTGCCTGCCCCTCCTCTTCCTCTCATGAGGAAATTGCAACTGCATTGAGGTCTCCCCTCAGTCTCCTCTTCTCCAGCCTGAACAGACCAAGTGACCTCAGCCACTCCTCATATGGCTTCCCCTCAGGGCCCTTCACCTTAGAGATGACAAGAAGGTGGTAGATGAAGCTTTCCTGGATTATAGTGAGACTTCTGATAGTGACCCTCACATCAGCCTTCTGGACAAGTGTCACAACCCACCAGTCAGGGGTATGATGTCTGTTGTAAATTCTTGTCAGTTTGAACAAATACACCAAATCATGTGTCAGGGAGCTCTTGTGCTTTATTGTACAGTTGCCTTAATTCTGGAAATGAGCCCACTGTTTAGACTCAAAAAGTGCCAGCTAACACTTTACAATACACTTCTCAAAACAAGCCCTTCATTTTTACAATACATTCAATAAGCTCTCAACTCCCACAATAAACTTCTCAAAGGTTCTGGCTCACAAGCTACAACACAATTCCACAAGCTCCCACTCCCACAGCACACCTTGGTATGGAGTACAGGGTAGAATATGACAGCTGTGTTTTGCCCAGACCAAGCAAGGGAGGAGAGAAAGAAAGGTGGAAAAGACAGAGAACAGAGAATATCATCAGTCCTTAGACCCTGCATTGTTTCTGCTGTGTGGATGGTCCAGATTGTTTTTCTGTTACCAAGACAGTAGTTCAGCATCTAGACATCCCAATCCCACTGGTTTTCAGTGGCATTGGGTCACCTAGTTTCCCTTTCACCGCAGGAAATTCCAGCCAGACCAGAGGTCACATTAAACCCCTGGTCATATTTGATTGCATTGCCATCATTTGGGCATGTGACACTGGCAGGGTGGTGTATACAGAGGGAGCTTTATAGTAATAACCACACAACCATGCAAATTCTGACTGCTCCCTGTGGGCAACAGAGCTTTCACTGGATCTTTCTAGAGCACTGTTTTTTGTAATGATGGATGAAGTTACTTCTTCCAGCCTCTGACCACATGGAGGGCGTTGCACCCTCCGTGCCTGTCCCTGGCTGGTTTCCTTCCACGCTCGTCACGCATGGTGCAGCTTGAAAGGGACTCTGAAGTCCTTTCAGTGAAGGTATGCTCTTGCATACATATTTGCAGACACAAAGGCACTACACAGCACTAAAAATGGTATTTTTCATATGCAAAGACCATCCCTTAAAGTTTGTGATATATGTTGCCTGAGCCAAATACATTCTGGCTGGAAGTTGCCAGCAGAGCTTATTGACAGGTGAACACAAGAGGAATGAACTGAACCCTGATTTTCAAAGGACCAAATTATCTGTGTCCAGCAGTGCACCATAAGGGATCCCCTCCTTCCAGCCTCCATTTTGCTGGAGCTCATCTCCAATGTGGTCCTGGTTCAATTCATACTGTTAATAACATCACTGTCCCTTCCCTCCCACTCCAGCCTCAGGATGCACACATATGACACACATGAGGAAAGGTAGACTACACAGCAGATAGACTGATCAACTGTGCATTGTGGTTTTATGGTCTTAACTTTCAATTTAGTATGAGTGGAAGCATCCTGAACAGCCCAGGAAAGGAGTGAGGACAGTGTGAAGTCACATTTTCTTAATTTGCCTCTTTCCCTCTACAGTCACCACTAGATGAAGGAGTAACTTCATAGAAACAGCTATGTGGAACAGGACCAGCTAAACTGTTATGTGAAGTTATAAATTACTTGTCTTTTTTTCACCATGCCATATTTTCAGTGGCTCTGGTCCAGACACAGAGCAGTGATTAGAGTGAGACCATTTGTCTGAATAACTGTTTGCTGTTATGTGACCACAACAGCATTGGTCACAACTGATCACAGTGCCATTGCAGAAGAACCCACCAGGGTTGGTGGCTCAGCCTGGACAAAAACACTTAGGTTTGCTCATCTGAAAGAAAAGGAGAAACAATGCAATAAAGGAAAAAAGGAAAAAGAAGAAGAAAGATAACAAAATAAAAGAAAAAAATTAAAATTAAAAATAAAAGAAAGAAAAAGAAAAGAAGAACTGAGCCAGTGCTGAGAGCTTCCAGCTGTCACTAATTTAAGTCAAATATGCCACATTGCCACTTGCTTTTCAGTGTGCTGTGGTTCAAATGCTGCATTTGTTTCTGCTTGTACAAACTGCAGTAGAGTCAAATACCCTTTTCTATGATACACAAAAAACCCAACCAAAATTTCAGTATGGAGTAGAAATAGCTTTTTAAAAATCCTTTCCAAAGTGCAAAGGCATGACAGCATTTCGTGGGACTGATTGTGGACCTGTTGAAGCTGGACATAGGGAGCAGCACATGACTGCAGCCTGACCCTGTCCTTTGCCGCCTCCGGCAGAGTTGAAGGCTTGTGGTGGGGTAGGAGCGTTACTTACCCCTCATCAGCGGGTTTGATGGAGACATTGCAGACGCCTGGCCTCCAACTGCTTGCAATTTGATGGCATTTTGATTTGTTCTCTCATCATCCATCTCAGCTCTGTCTGTCCAATTTCTGTTTTTTCACTTTGTGGTTGGTCTCCAGAGTTCAAATTCCATCGTCCCCGGTGAGCCCCCAGCGGTCAGAGTGATCTATGAAGCAGACTCAGCACGCATGAGTCAAACAGACTTCGCAGCAGCCCGGGACGTGGTGCCGGCAGCACTCCGTGCAGAAACTCGAGTACCTGGGTTGGGATTTAACGAAGCAGCTCCCTGACTGCCCTGGTCAGCAGCCAGCGATCCAGCAAAGCGAGAGATGTGCCTGATGTCACATCCTCTCCAACACGACACCCAATCGGGGCGCCCGCAGTCAGTTTTTATCAGGAAGGAAATTCTTAGTTTGCCAAAAAAACAAGACAGAAAGAGCTAGTTCAACTAGTTGAGCAAACTCTGCCTGCAGGGGATTTGCAAAGAAAACCCGCAGAGACACGAGTGCGCAGATCTGCACCGCTCCCCAGAAAGTTGTGTGCAGGAAACTTTGCTGTGCACCTCCCTGGACACAGCACGCTGTACGAAACTACCCATCTTGTCTGCCAAGCCCTAACAGGATGAAAGAAAGGGAGAGCTGATCGCCTGCTGCACAGCAGTGATCACTGCGTATTCTACAGATATTGAAACCACATGTCTGGGGAGCTGCACTTCCCACTGGAGGCCCTGTGCTCTCTGTGTGGAGTGGAAATTGCAGCCCTATGTGGACTTGTGTCTATTTCCCCTCTTCAATTGATTTTACTGAGTTACAGTCATACCAGGAGTTTTGTATCTAAGCAGTGCCCTTTTATTTTTAAGCAATTTCTCAGTCTAAACAAACCATCATGACTCTACTAGCAAAAAAATTGCAATATTTGTTCAGGAGGACCTTCGCCTCATTTCTCTGGGTCTGTTTGTTGAAGTTCTGTTCTCACAGATCACCTCTATTTGCACTTTTTTCTTTCCTAAATTTTTTCTTTTCCCAAAAACAAGCACAAAATCCTGTTCCTGTCACTGAATATTTGCCCATTTGTGTGCAAGTGCAATTAGGCAGAACTTCCATGCACGTCTAAACCATGTAAACATTTCCGGTTTTGTTCTGTCTGGCTACAAAAGCAAAATCTGTGTTTGTGTATGTGGGGATTCAAACTTGTTAAAGCTAGTCGGATTCTGAGCCCAAGAAATTTGGTTGCATTTTTATTCCTATCTGTAACACATGCAAGAGATCTGGAATTATATTTAGGATTTCTTTATCCATATCTTTAAAAATAATCAGCTATGTTAAAAGGTGCAAGCAGCAGCTGAACATCATCCCCAAAACCTGCCAATGGAAAATCTTTGAAAGCAAGGTGGGCACAAGCTGGTGCACAACTGCTGATGAGATATGGGTGAGGATAGGGCCAGCCCTTTCCATGGCTCTCCCTGCTGAAAATCTCTTGCCTCCTGGGTTTGGCCCCACATGCTAGATGCGAGCTGATGCTTCAATCTGATTGGCAATTACATTTGTGTCCTAGCCATTGAAATTTCCACATTAGAACTGTTGTGGGAAAAATGTGTAAATGGAGAAAGTGGTGTAAGTATGAGTTTTGTTGATTAAAATGTAAAAGGAGTGGAAAAACTAATTTTCACCTTTGACGTTACTTGAATTTAGTGGTTTGGTTGCCACATGTTATGTATAATCATGTCTTTAGCAATATTACCAAAAATGTCAGCAATTCCACCACTAAAAGGAGTCAGCATGTGCATCCAAATGTGCAATGATAGGGTTATAAGTGAAGATGTATTAAAGAGCTTTAAATTCAACAATAGTAAGGAGGATTCTACAAGACAGAAATCCCTTACTGCCTAGTCACCCATGGACAGGGAGACTTCATGCTTTGACCAAGAGACCTGCTGACTGATAGAGTAATCACTTTCATAATTTGTTATTGGTTTCATATATTTTGGTCACACTGTTACACAAACCTGTGCTTTGACAGATGAGCTGTTCCCTGTTCTTCCTGGAGGCTGGTAAGGTTGCACAGAGCACCTAACAGGGCCAATGAGCTTGCATCCCTTCCCATGGAAGCAGATGTCCCTACCCTTCAACACCCTTTCTGAAAGGGAGGCCTCTGACCCCTTTACATTTCTACTCTTGCACAGATATCTTTGCAGGGTTAGGACAGTGCAGGGGGATGCCAGCACAGGTCCCTTTGACCATTAGGATTTAGGTGGGGCAGGGAGCTCTGCCCGCATCAGGGATTTGTTTCATACTATGTGTATGTGTGTATATATATATATATGTAACAAATTACATCTCCTGTTTCACTTAAAACCAACTTTCTCACATCACGTGGTAGAAGGACAGGAAAAGTACCTGCAAAGGGCCCTATTAGAAGTGAACACCTTTGCCAACACCCAGAAAAGTGCAGTTTTATCTGCACTTATTAGGGAACAAGATGGTCTACTTGGTTTCAAGCTGATCCCAAAGAACTGAAGGAAACAATGGCTCCTGCTCTCTCTTTTCGAATAGTATTGCCAGCTCACTTCCCAGGTTTTGCCACATCTGCAAATGCTTTTGTGGTCCTCACCCATGGTGAGTAAAACCTTATTTTCAAATCACAGCTCCATAATTTTTTTTTCTCACAGTTTGTGAAAATGAAGGTTCCTGTGTTTCCCTACCCTTTGCATTTGTCCTGTGTGGAGCCCACCACAGCCTCTCTCTAGCACATGCACAACTTCTCGTTGAAGAATTATTTTCTGTTTGTCCAGATTTCATCTTTCAGCAATTTTCTGTGTCACATACATTAACAAGGTTGGTACTTTTTACAGTTGTAAGGAGTCTAGTTTTAAATTCTGCTAACTGAGTTTGTAGTAGAGGCACAAGAGGTAATTAATCACACAGAGAAAAGAGCAAAAAAGAAAGAAATATCTTATTTTTTATGAATTTCACCATTGCATTCCTTTCTATTTGTGTTGATTTTTCCCACAACAGTATGGGCAGTGAGGAAATCATAATGTGAGGCTCCTAAGCCCTTCATTATAACACACGTAGCGGCTGAGAGAGCTGGGGTTGATCTACATGAAGAGGAGGCTCTGGGGAGATCTTGTAGCAACCTTCCAGTACCTAAAGGGGGCTTATAAAAAAGAGGGAGAGGGACGTTTTGCATGGGTAGATAGTGACAGGTAAAGGGGGAAAGGTTTTAAAATTAAAGAGGGCAGGTTTAGATTAGATGTTAAGAAGAAATTCTTTACTCAGACTGTGGTGAAGCACTGGAATAGGTTGCCCAGGAAGATTATGGATATCTCATTCCTGGAAGTGTTCAAGGACAGGTTGGAAAAATCACTTTCCTATTATTCAAATGCAAACATCCTCAGTGGATAAAAGTACACAGTAAAGTGGAACCTATAACACTTAATATTACTTTTTCTGTTTACAGCTTATCTTATAAATGGAATCACCTTTTTGCATTCTTCTTCAAAAATGTAATTCTTGTAAGTAATTCAATGAAATGTTCTATTACCTTGATTTTTTTCTTCCACTTGCTAATCAGTTTTTTAATTGTGCACATCAATTGTATAACAATTTTTATTGTTAATAGCATAAATATTCTGCAAAAGTGAAAATGCACTACTGGTAAATCTGTCTTGGGAAGCAAATTCAGCATTGGTTTCTGAGGATGAAAACCACAGAGTTAGAGAATATGTTTGGAAAATTGGACACAGAACTTAGGATTTGTTCAATTTAGCTTTAGAATTAGAGCCAGAAATCTTAGCTTTTCCTCAGAGCTAATGAAGAAATATAGTCATTTTCAGACCATGATTCATCTTACCTGTTTTAGATGTTGGGCCTTTAGAGTAAGCCTTCACTAATTATAAAGGAACTCTAAATGAAGACCAAAGATGTAGGTGTGTACATATAATCAGCTGAAACCCACCTTAAAAACATGGCTAAATTCACAGCCAAATGTCCCAGCTCTGATCACCCCTCAGTGCTGTCATACGCTTTGTTCTGCACAGCCTGCGGGTGCCTCAGGGTGAAACATCTTCAGTGCAGATGAAGGCCAGCATTGTCCAGTGCCTGAACCCCCAGACCTTGACTTTGGAGTGCCTACACCTCAGAGAGGAGGGTTTTGACAGACAATTCAGACAGATTTAGCTGCATCAGCCTAAGCTGTTGCTCCCTGCCTGGCTCCTCACTTTCAGCAGAGATTACCCAATATGTTGTAAACAAGGGATGGCAGCACTGGCCACAAACTGATGCCACAACTGTCTCAGTACATAGTCCCTCATGTAAGTTCAAAAACCTGTAAAAGGTTTTTCTCCACCCTGTAAACTTGAGCCCTGAGGCACTAGCACATGCCACATTCTCCTCTAAGGCAGTAATTTCCAACCAAGGAGCAAGGCAAACATCTGGGACAGCCATGTTTTAAATCATAGCAGTTAAATCTGACAGAACTTGCCCACAGGAGTATTAAATCACTGGCGTCATTTCCGGAGGTACCTGGGTTTCCTTTGGAAGGCTGCTGTGAAATCTTTGAGCTGACACAGAATGAAGAGGTTCCCCTTTGGAGAAACTGATAATATTGTCCAGTTCTACCCCTATTTCCTTTCCTCAAATCAAGTCTTTCCTCCAGAGGTTTTCATTCTCTTACAGTTTTTCTGACATGAAATGTTTTCATTTCCCTTCCCCTCACCCTCACAGAACTTCCCTTTGCAAATATTCCATCTGCCTGACTGGGGACCACACAGACCGCTGTAAGTAATTATTCCTTTCTGCAGGATAGCCATTTTACTTAACAAGAGAGGCTCTAAATCAAAGCAAAATAAACCCTGAAGAAAGTAGCAAACACCCCTTGGTGTCAGTAGCACCCAGATTGATGCTTTAACTCCTTGTAGATGTGCAGAAGCACCAAGTTTTCCCATGGAAAGGACAGACTTTGCATGAGAGCTTGCACGCAAGTTTATTGTATTTTCTTTGTGGAAAAGAGAGGATTAGGGGCATTCTCCTCACAGAGAGAAAATCAGTAACACTCCATTTTTGATCATCTCGTGCCAGTTGTCTCTCAGTGAACATCTACATAAGCATCTTCATATATTACAAAATATATCTTGACGTTGCTGTCTGAACTACATTTAAAACATACACTACAGTACAGGTAAAAAGAATCCAAACCCTGAAAGTTAGTAGTTTGCTTGGGTTTTGGTTTTGTTTTTTTTTTTTTTTTGGTTGGTTTTTGGGGTTTTTTTGTTGGTTTTTTTGTTGTTTGGTTTTTTTTTTCAAATAATTTTGAAGATTCAAAGTGATTTCAAGTCTTTCTTGGTACTTTTTTGTCCTGTCTCATGGGGTGCAATCCTGTTTTGTCCACACTACCAGGTAAATAGTGTGGTGAAATATCTCATGTGACAAGTACATACCAGCAAGCAGTCAGTAGGTGTAACAACAGCAAAAGTCTCAACCTAATACTTGAGAGCTGTGGTGGGTTTTTTTTGTCACAATCTGCTAGCATTTGGCAAACTGTAAGGT